GCTTTAGCGTTAGCCCCGATGCTAACACCATATATATGTATTAGCTCAGCGCTACACATTCTCCTCTCGTCACCGAGGTCCTCCATCAATATAGCTCGGATATAGCTCGCTAGCAGCCTCGCACCGAGGACCTATCCACGTCATCATTTACCCAGAATGCTTTGTGTGTAAATAAAATGGCTCCATCCATGTTAAAATATATTTTAAAAAATTTACAAAACTAAACATCCTACAGTATTTCTACAGTGTTTATTTTACAGTTAAAATATATGTTTATTAAATAAGGTCTAATGTTACAACTAATCAGGGATCCCTTTAAACTAAAAAAAAAATAGTTTGCTTCATAGCTTAGAATGAGTAGTTTAAGAACTTTCCTTTAAAATGTGAAAAGATAAATTTGTACCACTTGGTCGCAGGTGGGCCTCATCAACCTGGTCAGAGTGTTGAGCAGGTCCTGCCTCTTCAAAAACTGCAACAACCAAAAAAAAACTAAATTAAATAAAAAAACACGTTAGAGAGATATTCACAAATCAGACTATAAAAGCATGAAAACAATGTGACAACACATCAGTGACACCTTGAGCTGAATCAGCATGCCCTCGCAGCACACTCGCCCCGAGCACCACAGGTTGTAGATGTGTTCGTTCTCCTGGTTCAGCTTCCCGGTGCTCACAGGTTCTTTACTCGTACCGTCATCACCTTTCAGAACACACGTTTAAAAACCGAGCTAATCTACGGCACTGCAGCTTTTACAGGCTGATGATCCGAACACGGCAGCAACGCAAAGATGAAAAGAACTCACCCACGAGAGCGAAGTTGCTCTCCAGAAGCTCCCTGTGCGAGTTGAACCAGGCGTGAGCGAGGCGACTGTTTTTATTCTTGCCTATGATGTAGTTCATGATGTAGGACAACAGGCCGGTCACCATCAGGATCTCCATGTAGTAACTCTCCCAGCTGTTCTGAAGGTGTGCAGGAACCTGCAGGCAAACAGCAATTTCACAAGTGTTCAACTGCAGCACACATGCACAATGAAATAATAAACTAACTGCAGTGAGATAAGCTAAAAGAAACCACAAAAAACACTATTTGATTCCTTTATTTTGCTTATTTTGTTAACCTCTTTTTGTTGCAGAAAGTGCAGTGTGTAAAAAAACCTGCATGTCCAGGCAGCAGGCCTGCACTCACATTCAAACTGCAGGGGACAGCACATAACCTGCTGACTTCATTCTCAGAAGATTTAAGCAATAAGCCCGGTTTACCGTGTGGATTATGAGGGGGTCCTTCATGGAGTGGCTCGTCTTCTCCATGTCTCCAATCCCCTCAAACTCCTCCTGGTCGTATTTACTGAACATGTCTTGATCCTTGAAGAAAATAATACATTACATGACTGTAGATGTGAATTAACGCACATATTAAGCTATATACAATAATTAAAAAAAAGGTTTTGTACTTGTGTCTCCGAGTCCTCGAAACCATCTTGTTCGTCCTCCAGCTCCACGGTGGCTTCATCTTCATCCTCCTCGGGCTGCGAGGGCGCTGCGGCACGCGGTGGGGGAGCGGTTTCTGCCTCGGCTGTCAGATCATCATTCGTGTCCTCGAACTCGGCGAAGTCGTTGTCATCGAATTCTGCCAGGTCCTCCCCGTCGTCAAAGTCATCGTTGTAACGACCCTTGGAGACGGGAAGGGCCAGGAGGAGCAGCAGGGTAGGGATCAGGAGGAGATACAAACCCCGCATGGTGGAACCTGGGTTACGAACAAAATAATGATACTGTTGGAAAAACATGCGTTGTTCAAAATGGTATGTCCGAATACGCAGGATTCAGCTGGGTTTCTTCTTCAAAACTTTATTTTCAATCTTCTGACTCCAGTCAGGTTCACAGAACAGCACTCAGCACACAGGCCTCAGTCAGACCTTGGGCTGATWTCAGGAAAACCCAAACACAGCAGCGCAACTCTGCTCAGAAGCAGAGACTCTAACACCCTGACAACTTCTTTTTCCTATAATAATGAATTCAGCTTATAATGTACATCTCTTCCTGGTTACACCCCAGAGGTAGGGGTGTCCCGATCCGATATTGATATCGGATATCGGTCCGATATCAGCCAAAAAAACGAGTATCGGATTTTATCGGCCTGCATAAAAAATGTCCGATATAATCGCTCCAATATTAGCAGTCCGTTCCAGCAGTTCACTGCCACCGCTTCAGTGTTTCTATCCAGCAGCGCTTGGATCAGGCTTGTAGCGCTCACGTGATCACAACAACATGCTCCGCTAACAAGTTAGCAAGAATGTCGGCAGAACTTTCTATTTTCATCAGAAACAGAGTTGCAGCTAAGTGCAAAGTTGTCACGCACAAGTTTTCCGTGGGGGCACAGAACCGTGAACATTTTAAACAGGAGCGACAACTACTCTCCACCCTGGCAGCAGCTTTGCGGTTCGGCTCGGTTCGTTCAGCCTTGGTCCAGTGACCGCACACAGCCGCGCTGTTTTGGAACCTCCTCTCTGGTCCGGTCGGTGGTTCTAAGCTGGCAGAAGCGAGGACAGCATGCGTACAGTTTTGACATCCCGTGGATTATCTCTGGGATTGATGGACAGAAGAAAGGAGAGCGCAGCTTTTGTTTCGACATGACGAGAGCAGTGATAAAAACTGCTCCCTGCAGGAGCGAGAGGCTAATCTCCACATGATGCTCAGAAAATGCAGCAGTAAGAAAGGTAGCTATCAATTTAAATAACTGACTAATTCATACTATTTATTTTTTGCTCTTGTTATTAGAGTGATGTTTAATCTGTTTACACACTTGTTTGAGTGAAGATTAAGTGCAATGATCACGTTGTTTTAGTTACAGTCAGTAAAATTGGAGCTGTGGACTCTTAACTTTGAACAGACAATAATGTGGGGTTTTGTTTTGTCCCCACCTTCAGTTTTTTCCACCATAAAGCAGCACAAGGCTGACAGATGATAAAAAAAATAACTGGAGTGATTTTGAATTATTTTACACTTTAAAAATACATTTTGTTTTTATTATGTTATTTTTTCAGGGTATTGCAATTTATTTTATTTATTAAATTGTAGAATGTTCTTCAGTGTAAAATGTATGTGATCCATTGGTTAAAAATAAATGGGTCAGTTTTTCTCATACCTACTCTTTTTCACTGTTTGACCTGATCAAGACTTTTCTAAGATTTTACACTACAAAATAGGTAAAAGTGTGTGACTTGTACTGTTATGGTAACGGGTCAATATCGGTATCGGACATTTCTCAAAGTTGTAATATCGGTATCGTATCGGAAGTGAAAAAGTGGTATCGGGACATCCCTACCCAGAGGTGTTACCTTTTACGTCAGACGTCAGAACGTCACTCAGTTTTGTTTAGGCTAAGAGAAAGAACACATGATAACACACACACACCAACTCTTTGTCAGCTTCAACCTTACAGACTGAAATGATCAGAAAGTATAAAATACAAAACTGAATCTAATATTCAATTAATCAGTTACAAAATTTCTTCAATACCATGGCTCTGTAATAAGTTCTAAAGAGGAACCAAATATTAACTGATCTTAAAGAAAGGTAAGTCCTACATAAACTGATATCATACAAGGAGAAAGAATACCCAAGGGAAAAACATTAAAAACAGAAAAATGCTCAGAAAAATTACCAAAACATCTGGAATCTCCATACTACAAAATATTAAATTTCAAGACAACCTGACAAATTATTTAGGCTAAAAACATATTTAAGCACCACTTATAAGCTAATTATCAAATAAACCTTCACTGTAGCTGGTACTGAAGAGCTAAAGCTAGACGAGCTGTCGATGACGCAAAGTAAGCTTCACGTAAAACTAATAAATCACGTTTAACTTCACGCATTCAACGTATTAATTACAAATCTATAAACATTATTTATATGTGGAATTCAACCCGAAAACCTAATCAACGCGACCAACCCTTCAGATCTCTCATGTAATCTTCGTTAGCAAGTAGTAGCAAATTAGCATGCTAACGGTGGCTAACAAGCGTAGTACAATTTCTTCCGAACAACCAGTGATGTAAACAAAAATCAAACTCCTTTCTTTTCATCACGATTCGCTAAAAGTAAAATTATAAAAGAAGAGTAGCGGAAAAGCCTCTTACCAACTGACTGACAGTGGTTTAAAAAGGTTAAACGGATTGAAATCAGAACCGTCCTTGAGGTGAAAGATGTTACGCCTGAAGCAGGAAACTTAAACGACACATGGTGGACTTTTCAAAATAAAGGCACAATATTTCCGCTTTCCGGATTCAACATAAATAGTTTTTGCTTTGATTTTTATTCATTTTTAACTGAACTAGCAGCAAAAAAAGTAAGTTAAAAACAAATTTCACTCGTGATATTATGAGACAAATTAAAAATCTAAAAGCAAAACCATTTATCAGTATGACAACAAAGACAGGCGATGCTGAAAAAATAATACTTGTAAAAACGTACTTAAAAAATGACAAGTTTGTATTTACATGTATTTTGAACGCCCATAGACCCTCCTTGTATACGCCAATTCGCCATTTATTTTGAAGAAGCTATTCGGAAACATACATTTTGCAATGTCTAACTTGATACATTTGATCCATCACGGCTACTAGAGGGCCAAAATAAACAAAAAAAAGGCATCCGCATTTAAACAATATTCTTTGAGCTCTCATGTGTTCTTGAGACTAATTAGAAGGACACGTTGTTTTAACGAATTAAAAAATATAGCTAAAATCAGTGGTGTGCTTTTATTTTTTACAACAGGAAGTTTCTTTTATTACCACGCTGACCAACACAAGCAGAAACCGGAAGTTGCTCCCGTTGCAATGCATTCGACTTGCTGTTGAGCTCGCAGCGAGCAATGCTACCCTTTGTTATGAGAAGTGATGAAAAATCTCGTTTAAAAACAAGATTTGCTTAATCGAACCGTCGGTATCGCCGGCTCCATCGGTGTTCGCCGTGAAAAGTGAACCCGTTCGTCGGGAGTTTATCCACAGCACTTCTTATTTCACGAGTTAGCGTGTTAGCTTTGCGGACAGCAGCTCGGAAAGATGTCGCTTCACGGGAAAAGAAAAGAAATCTACAAATACGAAGCTCCATGGACGGTGTACGCGATGAACTGGAGCGTCCGTCCGGACAAACGCTTCCGGCTGGCTCTCGGGAGTTTTGTGGAGGAATACAACAACAAGGTGCGTAGCTTTCTTTTCACCAGACAGTTAGCTAGTTCATGCTAACTCCGTGTTTGGCGTGATGGCTTCAAATATCGCCTCTTCTGGTCTTACTGTTCCCAGCAGATGATTTTAAAGAGCTGCAGAGAATTGTTTTAAATCATGTTTGCTGATATTTGATCTGTCACTAACTGTGTTTATGCTGTTATTTTCTCACCTCTTGGTTATTTGTTTTTGTTCTGCGCAGGTTCAGCTGGTGGGTCTGGAAGAGGAAAGCTCAGAGTTTGTCTGCAGGAACACATTTGATCATCCTTACCCCACCACCAAGATCATGTGGATCCCAGACACCAAGGGGGTTTACCCAGACCTGCTGGCCACCAGCGGGGACTACCTGCGCATATGGAGGGTGAGATAAAAACCTGCTGATGCTGCATTTTTTATCCTCACCTGCAATGGTTGGAATATTTTTTTTATCTTTTTTATGAAAGCAAGGATTTATCTCACACTTTCACTCATCTAAACATACTATCAGGAGGGATTATTTTGTTTTGGAACGTCCTTGTTTGAAATTTTGTAAAAATAGGATGGTGTATGACAACACAAGGGGAGTTATTAATTAGGATGGCGTATATCGCTCATTATAAGATGCTTCCTTTGTCTCCCAGGTCAGTGACACAGAAACGCGTCTCGAATGTTTGCTGAATAACAACAAGAACTCAGACTTCTGCGCTCCTCTCACCTCCTTCGACTGGAACGAAGTTGATCCCAACCTGCTGGGTAAGAAAACCGGCCGCGCAGCGGCAGCTTGTTTTGTTTTCGAACGATTAAACTGTTTGTTTTTGTCTTGTAGGAACGTCCAGCATCGACACCACCTGCACGATCTGGGGACTGGAGACTGGTCAGGTTTTGGGACGAGTCAACCTGGTTTCTGGACACGTGAAGACCCAGCTGATCGCTCACGACAAAGAGGTGGGCGCTTATTGGATTATTGTTTATGTTTGTTACAGCTGAACTTAAAGGCTCTCAGAACAAAAAGAAGTTAATCCTGAACCATATCAAACAGGTTTACTAATTCCAGATATATTTTTTTCCTCACAATAAACGCGGTGGAAACAGTTTGTTGGACAAACATCTAGCGTCTCCATGTCTCCTCAGGTGTACGACATCGCGTTCAGCCGCGCAGGAGGCGGCAGGGACATGTTCGCCTCGGTCGGTGCCGATGGATCCGTTCGCATGTTTGACCTGCGACACCTGGAGCACAGCACCATCATCTACGAGGACCCCCAGCACCACCCGCTGCTCCGCCTCTGCTGGAACAAGCAGGACCCCAACTACCTGGCCACGATGGCCATGGATGGCATGGAGGTGAGTTTGCTGCGGTCAGCCCGGGAGCAGATTGTTCTTTTTACGCAGCGTTTTTAAACTTTCGTACACTTTTCATTAAATCTAAATGATCTCGTGGCAGGTGGTGATCCTGGATGTTCGTGTGCCGTGCACGCCCGTGGCTCGGCTCAACAACCACCGCGCCTGTGTTAACGGCATCGCCTGGGCGCCTCATTCTTCCTGTCACATCTGTACGGCAGGTGAGTGCGAGCAGGGCCGCGCTGCAAACACACACAACAGGGTTCCTGCAGATCCTTAAAAAGTCTTAAAATCATTGAATTCATCAATCCAAAAATAAGGCCTTAATTAGCCTTAAAATGTCTTAAATCAATCTTTCAGAAGTCTTAAAAATGTTAACATATTGTAAATAGTATGATTGTAATTCATCTCAAATATTAAAGTAATTGGTAAAAATTATGTTTTTAAATATTCACATGTAGACATTCCCCTTTGACCTCACTTCCTGTTATTTCACATGCAAATATCTCAACAACTGTTTATCTGAGCAATGTGAAATTTGTTTTGTAATATATTAATAATGTTGTCTTTCCAAAAATTCATTCACTTTTCTTACAAAAACTTGATGTCACTTTAAACACAAGGTAACATTTTGATCTACAGATTTACCGTATTTTTCGGACTATAAGCCGCACCGGACTATAAGCCGCACCCCCAACATTAAAAAAAAAAAACAGTACACCCAAATTTGCCGTCAAAAAAGTGACTTCAACATCAAAACATAAAAAGCAAACCTTTAGGAATTAAAGTTCGGAGGAATACGGTTCATTTAATTGACCTTATTTTGGTAGTTTTCTTTAACAGTTTCTGGTCCAACAAAACGTCTCATTCATCGTCCTCCGGCGCACTGAAACCATCGAAATCCTCCTCTTCAGTGTCGGAGTTAAACAAGCTGAGAAAAGCTGCGTCACACAGCGGTATCTGTTGTCCTCCCGGGGTAATGCTGGCTCTGAAGCTGTGGTGGGGAAGCCCTCCCGCTCCAGCATACGTCACTGCATGGGATTCCTTCCCCGGGGAGTGCAATGAAGAAAAAAAAAGTCAGCGGCTCCTCACTCGACGTTTATCCACAAACTGGTCCTGGATTAAGCTCCAAAGTTTTTATCAGTCAGATTCCACCGTGAAAAATGTCTGTTTTATCCCCTTTTAATGATTTTTCGGCCACTGACTATCTTTAAATCGCTGCTTCCTGGTCAACAGTCGGCTCTGGAAGCGATCGCTTTTTTTCTTTTTTTTTTTTCTTTTTTTTTTTTTTGAAGCGAGTGGTTGAAGCAAATGGAGCATAAGAGCCCCCTGGTGGCTGAAGAAAAAAATCCACGTATAAGCCGCACCGGTCTATAAGCCGCATGGTTCAAAGTTCAGGAAAAAAATCGCGGCTTATAGTCCGAAAAATACGGTACTCAAAAACAAACTATAAACATGACCTGAGAGGGGTGAACATACAAATGAGTACTGGAACTGTTTGTTTACATTCCCTGTGGTTCCTGCTGCTGCCATGATTTGATGTCAGTTACCGTTCATTTGATTTGTTCACTGGACGCGTTTTTGTCACACAGATGAGAATAACGTCACATTAATTATTTGTAGTGACTAACTTTTTTGTTTTGTTCTTTCACACATTGTTAAACTCTACAAGAAGAAGCAAACGTTAGCTCACCGTTATCTCTGTCGTCCTGCTCTCTTGTCTGTAGCATCATACTGCTGGACAGTCCGGTACAGACTTCGGTACTTTTCCTTCGAGTTTCGTGTAGTCCATTATTACTGTTGTGTCGCAAATAAAACTAGACAAGATTTCATTCATGATGCCGCCCACATGGAGTCGGCTGGCTCTCTCAGCTCAACAGGAGTAGAGTAAGGCCAGGCTGGGAGCACAGCGCCCTCTGCTGGATGAAGGCAAAACTACACTGAAATAAGGTTTTAAACGGATGTTTTCAATTAATCCAATGGAAGGAATTTTAATCTAATAAACCATTATTCGACAATTAATCGTAAGTCGATTAATTGTTTGCATCCCTAATCTCCACGTATCCTTTTTGTTATCCTTTCTCACATTTCCTCTCGTCCCCCCCGCAGCTGACGACCACCAGGCTCTGATCTGGGACATCCAGCAGATGCCTCGCGCCATCGAGGACCCCATCCTGGCCTACACCGCCGAGGGGGAGATCAACAATGTGCAGTGGGCCTCCACGCAGCCCGACTGGATCGCCATCTGCTACAACAACTGCCTGGAGATCCTGCGTGTTTAAACGCCGCGGGGGGGGAGCTCCGTCTCACGTTGGGACTGCTGTCGTCCTCGTCCCTGCTCGTTTTCAGGACAGAGATGAGACAACTTAAACACACACAAAGTGAACTTCCTGAACATGTTTGGAGTGTGACACACTTACTCTGCAGTAAACTGGTTTACATTCGTTCTTCATCATCGCTCCGGTTTGATTAAGCAGGCGTAAGCTCTTATTTATTTTGCTCAGCAGCCATAAGAAGCATCAGTGCTGTGAACCTGGAGCTGCTGTTCAGATTCGTTTTTTATACTCATTGTTACTTCAGCCAGACGAGAGATTAGGGGGCGGGGTTTAGACGTTGTGCATTTCACCTGTTTGATTTGTGGAGGTTGWTCCGGGCTGCAGACGACCTCTTGAATACGTAGGATTATGTTGTAGCCTTCTGGTGGATGCAGACCATAATGTTGTATTATAGCCCTGTTTACTCCAGCGGCAGGTTAGGCTCCTCCTCCTCGCTGGATGAGTGTGTAGTCTCAGACTTGTGACCTGTGCAGCCATTACAACAAATGTAAAATAAGTTTAGAGCGAATCGTGCTGCAGCTCTGACAGTCGTTCACATTAACGCTCATCATCATCATCATCATCATCATCATCTACCAGAGACGTTCTCAAAGCTCCCGAATTCTTTCAATTTGTTGCTGATTGTGTTTGAAAAGCTGCTTTTTTATCTGTTAGAGTGAGGTTTGAAGTGAATGGAAACAACTCTGTCTTTTTCTTGTGTTCAGTAACTGAAGGGTCATGGTCCTTGTTGCATGTCATTACAAGGCAAAATGTAAATACATATAAATATATCAAACTGATGTTGTTAGCCACGTGTTCATGTCGTAGCTCTTTTCATAAAGTTTATTATTGAATTTGCTCTAATAAAACATATTCCTCCATGTCTTAGAAGCTAACTTCCTGTTGTGTTTGCTCTTTGAAATAAAAAGTATTAATAATTACTCATAACTTAATCYAGACACGTTTCTGTTCAGATTTTAAACGAGGGCGTGAGTACAACAAAATGTTCAGCTCATTCAGGGGAAAGGTGCTGGGACCGTTTGGTTCCATAATAATTAGAACTTAAAATATTTAGTTTTTAACCTCTTATGCTGCTTTAAGTTTTTAGCTTTTAAAGCTTTTAAATGAAGTTCAATAAAAGTCAGATTAATAATTCTTTTCTACCATCTTAAAAATCTGAAATTAAATCTTGACCCACTGTTGGCATTTTACAACCAAATTTAACCACAGAACGTTCATTTTTCAAGCAATTATTCAACTAAAAAGCTGATGCTTATAGTTTTGAAGGTGCATTTAGTGTGTTTTTGTATATTTATAAATATAGATTTATATTCTAAGGTGCTGCATTAATCCTGTATCAAATCTTGACTCTTGAATGCACAGCCTGCAGGATCTCAAGCTTAACTTTTTTCACTAGAAACGATCAACTTTTTAAATCATGAGTTTCAATGCAAAGTTTATTCAAATTTAGAAGAAGCCTGAAGAGGAAAACCTGCGTTAATAATTATAGATTTAAAAAAAGAGCTTAAAACATTTAAAAAAGTCGATCAAAAATGGTGCCCAAAAGAGTTCGTTTTATTGCACCCTTAATTTTTTTATAAAATACCATTTTACAACTAAACTCACAAACAATTCAGATGAATTAAATAATAATAAAAAATTCAGCAAAACTTTTGTTTTGCTAAGAATTAATCTTCCTTTTGTTTCTGTTATTTTTGCAGCATTTCGGCCCGTGGCATAGGCAGTGTAGGCAAATGCTAACGGTGCCGTCCATCTGAAGGGCAACAAATGGGAGATGAAAAAATATATTTTATGACTTTTTCTCAGAGTCTAGTTGATTTAATCTGTAGAAAACTTTTCAATTTCAATTCAATTAAAAAATTTGTTCATTTAATTAAAAAATAACTATATACAAAAAAAAAAAAAAAAAAAAAAAATCAAAAACCAAAACAAAATGAAAGGTAGAAGAAGAATAAATCACTGGTTCCTCAGGTTTGTGAAGGTAACTTGTTCTGTTTTGTTCCTACATGAGGTGCTATCTGGTGCAGAGGATGTTTCATAATAAAAGCATCACATGATGCAGTCAGACCAACTCCTGCTGCTCAGCGTGGAAACAGAAAACAAAACCAAGATAATGAAAGTTTCAGTTCTGATCTCAGATAAAGTCTGGTTTTCAGTGTTCTACCTTCATAAAATACAGATTTCMCTTTGTTTTATCAATCCAAGAATTTAGTGAAATGCTCTTCAAATAGTTGGAAAATGCAGAGTTTTGAACAGATCTTTTAAAAGATTTCCCAGGGAAGTGTACCCCTGGACCCCCCTGAAACTGCTTCAGTCCACATCTGCTGGTTAACATGAACAGATGGGTCTCAGGATGTCAGCAGGTGTTGACTTCTGGTATTTTGTTTCAAGTGAATTATATTGTTAACTATTTTAACTGGACGCTCTGGTTTCTAAAGATAAAAAATAATCTCAAAGACAAAACGATTTAGTTTGTATATTGGCAGTGAGAGGGGGCACCACCAGAAATCCTGCGCAGGGCACCAGATCAGTTAGGGCCGGCCCTGGTCTGATGAAAGTGAACTTTTTACAGTTTGAACACAACGTTTCATTTTCTTTTTTCTTGCCTGTTCTTAGTAAATAGTCCATGAATTTTTCTCCAAGCTGCCTGTTTACCTGCTGCTCACAGGTGTGGTTCTTCCTGTGATTACTCATTACAGAAGACCTTCAGACTCATAAAGTCATAAAAGCTCCCAGCTGTCAGTCCTTCAGCTGCGTTTCCATTTACAGATGAGAATGTGTTTCCTTTATAGGGATTAAAGATGGCACACGGCAAACCGGCGGCTTGTAAGTTTTAATATGATGTCTTAATCTGTCATTATTTTCACAATGTTTACTTCTTGAGATTGTTTCTTCTGTTTTTATTGTTGTTGTTGTTGTTGTAGGGGATGTTTGCGGCACATTTCATCTGAAAATCGTGCTTCTTGGAGGGAGGAACTCTGGGAAGAGTTGCGTGGGGAACCTGATCCTGGGGAAAGAGGAGTTTGTCTCCAGAGAGAGGACGTCCTGCTGTCGGAGGCTGGGGGTGGTGGGTGGACGCTGGCTCACGGTGGTGGACACGCCCGGCTGGTGGTGCGACTTCAGCGCCCGGGACACGTCCCAGCTGGTGAGGAGGGAGCTCCTCTGCAGCGTGGCCCTGTGCTCGCCGGGGCCTCACGTGTTCCTGGTCACGGTGAAGGCCGGCTCGGGCTTCTCGGAGAGGCGCCGCCGAGCCGTGGAGGAGCACGTGTCCCTGCTGGGTGACGGCGTGTGGAGACACTGCATCGTCGTCCTCACCTGGACCGGCTGCTCGGAGCGGGCCGAGGCTGAGGAGGTGGCTGAGGGAGGAGGAGAAGGCCTCCGCTGGCTGACCGAGAGGTGTGGACGGAGGTGTCACAGCGTGGTCCTGAGCTCCGGCTCGGAGCTCACAGAGCTGATGCTGAAGATCCAGAARCTCRTCGCAGAAAATGGAAACGGAGTGTTTGAGATGCAGGAAAGCATCCTTCAGACGGCGGTGGAGGAGAAGAGGAGGGTGGAGGAGAGAGCCCAGATGAGATTCATGAGAATGAAACGACACAGGTCTCTCATGAGGAGTGAGTCACAAGCTTAGATTAAAAACAAACAAACAAACAAACAAACCAAAAATCAACTAGAGAAATATCATTACCTGTGAAAATGCTGTGTGAATGCCTAATGCTGAAAGAGTTTTGCTAAAAAGCTAAAAAAAAAAAGCTAAAACTAGAACCGAACTAGAAGCACTAGTGCAAACCTCCGCCAAGACCAATTTCCCCCATCCTGCAGAGTTACAAAGGGGCACACCAATGCTACAGTGCCTGCTGGACACTTTGAAACCCACGCCCTGTGAAAGCATCACAGCTTTGCCCATGTCAGAGTGTTAAAAGAAAAAAAATCTTGTATCCGCATCGTGATCTGGAACATCACCAAAATTTAAAGGTGTGTTATTTGACCAGTATTTACATGTGATGAAAATGTCATGACAATCCGTCCACAAGTTTTTGAGTAATGTTGTCCGACCAACGGACGGACGGACGGACGGACAGAGGCGACAGAAAACATTATCTCGCCCTTGGCGGAGGTAAAAATAGCTTAAACATTAGATGAAATCAGCACAAWAGAACAAATAGAATTGCTGAATTAAGCAGTATGAACCTGAAGAAAAGGGTGAATTTAGCTGAAAAAAGAGCTCAAATTACCTAAAAAGTAGCTAAAAACAGAAAACACCTGAAATTAGCAGAAAGCTTCTGAAAGAAGCATAAAAACTATAAAATAGAAGAAGCTGAAAGATGCACAAATGTTGAAATTAATAGAAAAATAGCAGAAAAGGTCAGAGTGATAGCTACTGAAGCAGATAAAAAAAACTATAGCGAAAGATGAAGGAAGCTGAAATGATTACAAAGGAGTTAAAAAAAAGCAGAATATTTGGGGTAAAAAGTTCAGTAAAGATTTAAAAGGGATTTAATTTTGTTCAAAACAGCTCCATTCATTTTCAATGAGCAAAACGGTGGAAAAAACTAAAATATCTCAATAAGTATAAAC